AGAGTTCCCCAGCCAGACATGCTGGCTCGGGAACTCTGGGAGTTGAAGTCCACTCATCTTAAAGTGGTCAAGTTTGGACAACACTGTCTTAGATGAAAAGCGTCAGAATAATATTTCAAATTCGGCATGCCTAAATCTCCATCAGAGTTAACACAAGTACCCTGTAGTTTAACTGTAGGTAGCTTTTAACTCTAAGTAGTTTTTCTAATTATATATAAACGAAAAAATTCTTTCTTACCATATATGAAACTAGGTAGGGTCAATAGAATTGAATATATTTTGAATATTTTAATTGCCACTATTTTTTCCAGTGATGATAATGAAAAATGTTGCCGTGCCACGTTATTTTTTTCATCTAACACAGAAATGGGCCATCATTTTGGTGGGCTTGCTTAAGGATTTGGTTATTTTAATGAAATAGACTCATGTGAAGTGTAAACATTTCTTGAACTGGTTTTTCTGTGATTCTTTACCAATATTAATTAACATAGCTGATGATAATCAACTTCTGCACTTACCCCTGTATGACATCTCTTTAATTTAAGACTGCAATCGTATTTAGGTTCCTAAGAAAAATAAATGTAGACATTAGCAAACAGCTTAATTATATTTTGTTTTGATACTACAACCCCAAACATTGCCGTGTTTTCTAATATTCTGTGCGAATAAGATTTTCAATATAAATGAAAGTCTTTGTTTGGTCTCCTTATTTATCTGAGAGGAAAACGTGAGTTATCTAATATAATGATGCTAACTACTAATTGTGTCGGTGAATACAGTCAATACGTTATCAAAATCAATAATATATGTCCAAATTCCAGGCCCCATAACCCAAGTCGAGCCTAACAATGAAATCATTCCCTGAGTGATTAATGTTAGAAGGACAGAATTCTTCAACGCATCATAAACATTCAACTTAATGCCGTTTATCTTACAGGACGTTTTGTTCCTCTTGCGTGGTGAGATTTATTATTTTTTTTTTTTTACAAAATATCCGTTCCTCCTCTATGAATAATAATTTCCCCTAAACGACTACATTTTAACCCAACAATGGAGGGGCTACCGAGACAAAAAGGGAAACGCATTGGAAGAGATTTTGTTGGGTGGGCATCGCCTCTGGCGCGAGTCTAAATTTTGGATTATCTTGGCGGTAAAAAGTTTTGGTAAATTGGACTTGCTGAGGAATCCGGCATTCTGGAGACCATGCTTACTGTTTTTTTAAGACAAACACCGTCCCCCCTCTCCGGGCACGGGACTTCTGACATATCCAGGGGAAGTTCTGTGCCATCTTTCTAAAAATGCCCGTGTTAACTGCCTGCCTCGGTCTCTCCGCAGGAACGACGAGAAAACCGCCGCCGACTACAAGATCCAGGGCGGATCGGTTCTTCATTTGGTCCTAGCGCTGCGTGGAGGAGGCCTGCGATGATGGAGCATCTCGCCCCGCCACGTCCCCCTCTTCCCCAGACCCACTGGATGTGTGTGAGCCCAACCCTTGGATGCGTGGGAAGCCCGTCGGGCGCACCACATCCTGCAGCTTTAGTTTCTTCCTAATTCCAGGAGGACTGCCTGCCACCGCCGCCCCTCCCAAAGTTTTTTTTTTTTAAGCTGTCATTGGGAAGGGTGCGTTTTAGGGGGCAGGGTGCTCTAAGTTATTGGGGTGCAGCATCCGGCTTCGGCCCGGGGTCCTGACTGCATGTGAATAAGGATTCATCTGCTGGTTTTCACCCCCCCTTGTTCAAGTCTCCCCCCCCTTACCCCCCCCCCGAAGCCAAAGGTTTTAATAAAAATAAACAACAACCCAAAAAAATCCGCAAGTCATTACATTGAGTGTCTTTTGTCTGCGGG